GGGGGGGGGGGGGGTGGTAAACTGTTGGAGGAGGTGGTCGCCGGCATCGGGAAGTCGCCGGAACTGGGAGTGATTTTTACCAATTCAATTCTTCGAGAGGAAAGGATTTGGGTAGCCGACTGATAGTTGGAGAGAGAGTGGAGAAGAAAGGTGTGAATTTTCAGTCGAGATGAAAAAAACGAAGCGTGAAGTTTTCGGAAATAAAAGAAGTTTTTTTAAAGGGTCTGAATGCTTTTAAGATTAGGTTATATGTCTGACCGATTCAGACCAATTCACACCTATTCAGATGTTTTAAAAGTGAAAAACCAATGCACTTAATTTCAAAGCTAAATAGACTAACTCTCAATTCACACCTATTCAGATGTTTTAAAAGTGAAAAACCAATGCACTTAATGGGCTGAGATCTGGACCATTCAGATTCAGACTCCCATTAAGTGCAAAGAAATGAGAGTTGGTCTATTTAGCTTTGACAGTGTTCTATCCATATGAGTGTATCCAGGGGTGGGAGTCCTTCCTAAATTGTGCCAAGTAAAGGGTATAACTTATTACAATTTTTCTTGTTTCTATACGCCAATAGTTACATTTTCTTTTTCTTAAGATCTACATATTTATGTTTTTGGTTCATATTATCTGGGGAAGCACCACCATTGAATATATGCTTCTTCATTGGTTCTTTTACCTAATGAGACATTTCTGATTACGGAAGTTTTGTTACATCATGTGGTATGTTATAAGTGTTACATGGCGCAGCTTGAGCTGACCGAGGACATGGCCCTAGATAGAAGGGTGTGGAAGTGGAAGATTAGGGTGGACGGTTAGTAGGTAGTCGGGCGTTTTCCTTTGTCTTCCCTAGTTCGATAGTATTAGTGCTAGTATGGTATCCCTTTTTTCCTTAGTTTGCTATAGCCGCGTGTCTTGTTCTGTTACTACTTACCTTCGGTAATGACTTCGTCGTATTCTCGTGTGCTGCCTTGGACTTATCTGTCTAAATATACTATCTTGATATTACTTCTTGGTACTATCTTGCTATTCTTTGTTGTTATCTCCGATTTAGTTTTCTGACTATTTGTCTTGCTATCAGGGCTTCCTTCACCTTCTTTAGCTAAGGGTCATTCGGAAACAGTCTTTCTACCCTTCCAAGGTAGGAGTAAGGCTGCGTACATCTTATCCTCCCCAGACCCCACTTGGTGGGATTATACTGGGTAGTTGTTGTTGTTGTATTTTGTGTTAGGGGGGCAGAAGCTCTTGCTTCTTCATATGGAGTTGTTGATACAGCTTGTTCATAATTCATCAAAAAATACTGCTTGTTCCTTTTTAGCATGGGTTTAGAAGGCCTATTTCAAAGGCATCACTGGCTCGAACACTTGACACCTCTGCAGTGGGTACACTACACCATGCATGCTTATGTTTTGTGCCGCTAACCTATTTCATACTGTCAAGAAAAGGGGAATGAGTTTCTGTTATGGTACATAATACATGCTTATTTTTTATGCTGCATAAATATGCTATTTCTTAGTGGTCTATATGCAAAATTAGCGAGTCAAAGAGGCACGAGGATGAGTTTTCAGTTAATTCAAGTGTCAATGCTCATCCAAGCTTAGACTTTGCTGTGGATATGTTGCTAGCTACTGCTTATTATAACACTTAATTGAATATTTTGTTATTCTCGAATTTATTAGCATTAGCAATCATTTCTCATATCATTTTCTGGTGACATCCCTTTTTGCTGCTTAGTTCTCACGAGTTTATGCAGGCATTCCTCCTCTGGGGAGGTTAGAAGTAACAGATGGTATCTCTTGGTTTTGATGAAAATGGCAATCCTCCTTGACATGTTACTGCTTCCTTCTGCCCTCAGCCAAAATAAGCATACTAGTACTAGCTAAGATGTTGTCTGGAGACTTATTTGTTTGGCTAAGAAAATGACTAAATTGTTCGCAAAAACGTATTGCAGCTATTTTATAGCAGAGCTGCCTATGCAAAATTACCAATGCTAATCATTTAGTCACATTTTCCATACTGGTGGCACAATTTGCATTTTTCTAAGTGTCACCCATAGATCATCATGTTATTAACGGCAGGATAAGATAATCCTTGGTGTTGGCTTTTTTGGATTTGCTTGATGTATGCATTAAAGCTGTCATTTTAGTTAGCTTACCACATTGTTTTGTTTTTCATATTTCTTTTGAAGTTATTCATCTTTTGAAGCACCTCACTACGTGAAACCAGGAGTACCCTATAACTTGATTATTGCAGAAAATACTCTTTCATTATTGTTCATAAAGGTAACAGTTCATTTCTGGTGGTGGTGAGGCTTGGCATCCCTACTAACAAAATAGAGGGACAAAGAAGAAATTTGCAATCTTGAACTTTACCATCGGATATTATTTTACTCACTATTATTTGTTCAGTATCCTTCACTATTATTTTCTTTTTGGCAGAGGCTATCAGGAGCATCGTTATTGATATTTGCAAATAAGCAGGACATACAAGGCGCTCTTTCTCCGGATGAAATAGCAAAAGTAAGGATGCTTCTTATTATAACTTAGAAACTGTGTTGCGTGAACAATGAAGTGGAAGTGTGGAACTCTTATTCTTGAAACTAGTAAGGAATAGGGTGCTATCAATGATATCCTTAACAGTTAAGTGAGATTCTTTTTTGTTCACTTAAACTATATTTTACTAATAATGAAGTAAAGTTATGAACTGATTAATAGCTTTCTGCATTTTATTCAGCCAACCCTTCTGTTACACAACAGAAGAACGGTAGTCTTAGGTTATAGCCTTGACTATTAATGAGACGACTCAACAAATGCAAAAGCACTTACCACGTGCTTATGATGTTTAAGCCCGACTCAGTAACTATTTACAACTTTTTCCTTAGACTTTGTTGAAAGTGGATGGATTTAGCCCAGGAATGCTCTTTTGGGTCCATGATCAGTAAAGATCTTATGTTATAATCCAATGCAGCAAGGCAAAATGTAAACTTGAACTCTCCGGATTTATGAAGCAAGTATTTCATTTTATCAAATAAATAAAACTTTTCTCTGTGGCTTTGGAATAAGGGATGGTCTAAGTGCTGCAACTCCTGCTTTCACATTACTGTCTTAGTTATTGTCCTCTCCCTTAAAAGGCTGTGGTGTCTCATGAATCATGAAGTCTTACTTTGCTACATACAAAGAATAAATTGACCACGCGTCTTGAATGTGAGCTTTTCTTTTTATTGTTATTCTTTTTTTCTACAAACTTTATTCATTATGGCTTTTTGAACCATGTGTTTAAACTAAATGTACACTTTGCATTAAATGCTAGTTTTCCTCTTTTGATTTCTTTTGAGAGAAGCTTCATTGTACCCCTGTCGTTTAGTAGGTTTGCATTGTTAAGATGATTTCTTAATGTTTGGAAATCTAAAGCTCCAAATATGAAAACTGAAGTACTGAGAGATCAGGAAAGTAGCTTCTTTCTGGCCATGGTTAAGGAAGTATGAGTAGGTAGTGTTCAAATAACTTCAATTTTTCTTGTGTATGGCCATTTAATCCTAAAGTTCTGTTTACATTAAAACAGAGGGAAACTAACTTCTTCTGATTCAGGTGCTTAACCTGGAGGCCATGGATAATAGCCGGCACTGGAGAATCGTGGGATGTAGTGCATACACCGGAGACGGGCTACTTGACGGATTTGATTGGCTGGTACAAGACATTGCATCACGGATCTATATGCTTGATTGAGTAAAGTTTACATTAAAATTTTGATTCGTTCAAGATAACCTTTCTAAACACTATTTTATGTACCATTTGGAGTACATTTATGGATATAAAGATCAAATTTCTGTGTGAGGACTTTTTGCTCGTGTTATTGCTCATTGGTGCCCTGCTCAAATGACACCATCAGTGAGGAAAATTCTTTTAAGACCTTCCCAATATGGCCAGAGTATGTTATCCACTGCCCCCCTGCCCGTGTCATATTGGAGCAGGTTGCACGAGCTTTTTCTCTGGAGGGAGTCGGAAGGGAGCTTTTTAACCCCTCTTAGTTGGCTTATCCGGCGCAAATCCGAACTGGTTGGGCTAGTGGGCTTCAGATATCGGGAGCTTTGCACAAATAGGATACTTCCACGCCTAGATCTCTAGGCTTTCCACACGATATTGTGCGTGATCTTGATTTTTAGGAAATTACATGCTGAGATCTGCAAAAATAAAGTCCAAGATCTGTGAGAAATGTACCCAATATGTCTATGAATTGGGTTGTCAAAACTCTCAAATTGCTTCATTAGTCAGCGTCGATGAGACAATTTGTTGGCTAATTTCGTCAACAGATAATGAAAATAGAAAAATTATACCATTAGAACAAAAACTTCTAATTAATCAATCTATGATACGAAAATTCAAGCATCTGTTTATAACCATCGCTATTAGCAGTCCAGTAGCACAGAAATATAAACTTCTGATGGATATTTTCAATAATATCGCCACCCTTAACAAAAATAAGCACACCAACTTCTTTTCTATTTGAAGCTTGAGAAACAAATAGGACTAAGAAAAGCACTTCCACCCTCATACCTTGATAGAATACAAATTCGAACAATTTTTTGAGTTATAAAGATAAAGATTTTATTTCTTACTAATTATCTAACAAATATTAAAGTAATAAAATTATCAACTAATGATATTATGGGTTGTAGACAAGATTGGAAAAGCCTATAGTTATGATTCTCCTATAGAATCCATCTTGCTATATCTCAGATAATTTCGCCTAAGTATTCTATACTGATCGTGAGAACTCGACTTATCGTAATTCTCTCTCGAGCAACTACACCAATATTCTAGTCATATTCTCTTGAACAACGCTAGCTCGCACTTTCTCAACGCTCGCTATGACCATATCAAAGCTTCGTTATCTCTAATCTCGCTTTTAAACCCGCCCTATTAATCTCTCATATACCTTAGGAGTGGCGTTGTTCAACGACAACCTAAATATGCGCTCTTTCTCAAGTAATACATAATAAATAGGCATAGCTAATTGAGAGCTCTTTAATGAACCAAAATAAGTATGTACTTGAACACGTAGAGAAATTCAAAGAAGAATTCATCCTTCAAAAGGTTCAATCAAACTCTAGATAGAAATTAGGTACTTATAGTCATGCTAACAATTACGCTAATAATTGAAAGCATTAATTTACAAACTAAGAAAGAAATGAAGAAAAACTCTTGTGATTCGATGCTTGCAATGCTTTTAGCCGTCTTGTTGTCTTCAAAATAATGCCCAACCCCCTCAATAACGAGTTTAGGGAGTATTTATAAGTTAGGGTCGACGTGTCCAAGTCCAAAACCAACAAGAAAACAAAAATAGCTCGGACAGAAGCTGTCTCGCCCCACGCCGAAACTTCACCGCCTCAGGCTCCGCCTCGTGTCGTGTAAGGCGCATACTTTGGCGCCTTTGACCTCCCAAGGTGCCGAAGTTTGTTTTCTAAGCTCCCTCTGGGGCGTGGCATTCTAGATGCTATACCTAAGATTTCTCTTCAACTTACAATGTAGGCAAGTTCTAGATGCAACTGTAAAACATGGATTATAGAAGAACTCACATCAGACAATGACATATGCTTTACTAAGGACAGTCTCATATCGACTTTCAAATCAAAGCAATTTACAAATCCAAGAAATATTAGGCATAAATCACAAAGTGAACATAAGTCAAATAAACGAGCGATAACTGTCATAAGACAAACTATCCAATTTTATCAAGGCATAATCAAATATTTAAAACAAGTGGAAGATGATACATATGCCAAGACCTAATGTATGCTACTATCAACAAAGTAAAAAAACGTGAATTACATCATTCTTTTTCCCTTTATTTCCTAAGTCCTACTCTACTCTAAAAAGTGAAAAAATTATCTAATTCAAGTTACATCCCATGGAAAAGAATCGAGGCACAAAGAAAAATCACGGGAGATTATTACTACCTAAAGAAACAAAGACATATTTTTATATATTTTTTTTAATTTTTTGTATTTTTATTTAGACCTTAATCTCTCAGTAAAACTGTCTAGGAAATCCATTATATGGACAAACCCAATCTTTTTTGATTTTCGATTTTTTAATTTTTTTTCAACACATAAAATAGCACAGGAAATTACGCAAACAATCTCCTCACCCACACTTTAAATTGTGCATTTTTATAAATAATAAGAGGGTAAAAGAGACTCCTTGATAGATTAAATTCGGAAATATTAGCAACTCATGGGGTTTTTCAGGCTTCATTATGCATGGTTCTTTAGGCACCCTGCACTTAGTTCCAACCATCTGGCTTGCTCTTGCATATTTTCATTAGCTTTGCTTCCCATGATCATACTATTACAAAATAAAAAATAATACAAAAATGTAAACAAATAGAAAATAGTAAAGTTGGGGTTGCCTTCTGACAAGTACCTGATCTATAGTCGCGACACAACTTGAATCATTTTTTCCTCCACTTTAAACTTATGAATTGGATCCCAAATTTTGATTCAAGCTTACGACAATGGTCCTGGGGTGGTGGCACAAAACCTTGCATGCCCAAAATAAAATTTTGCATTTTGCACTTCTTAACCTTCAAACGAGGAATGTTATTTTGCCTAGACAGTATTGCAAATTTCAGAATGTATGACTCGTCTACCTCTCCCATGACTCTCTTTTATACTCGTAAGGAAACTCTTATATTATCGTCCGCACATAATATAGAGAAGTATTTGAAATGAGGTCCGACACACTCAAATATATGAATTTCAAGCTTATCAACATCCTCGACACCAATAATACCAGAATCAACTAAATTTGTATCCTCGGCTGACTCTAGTATCACTTCCTCAATGTTGACATCCTCATATTCTGGTTGGTTAGGTTGTTGGTGTTTTACTTTGAACTCCTGTATTAGCACCCCAATTTCTGCCTTTCTTTCATGCTCTTCTTGTCTACTGTCCACAATATTAGCCTGTTTAACATCTAAATCTTCAATCAGTTGACTCACTTGAGCCTCCAAGTTATGAATAGTTGCCTCTTGCCTTTGTATCTGCAGTTGTTTCTCATCATCTCTCTCAACGAGGCATTTTAACATATCTATAATCTTCTTCATGTCAACATCTCCTGGTTCTTTGCTCCTATAGACTTTACGAGAAAAAATAGAACCATCATAATAAGGGGTTGGGGGAGGATAAAGAAAATCAAAAGTAAAATTACCAACACTAAAACTTCCATAATTTCAAGATGTCATATTTTTCAAATAAAAAATAAAAATAAAAACAAAATAAAATAAAAGTTTAATCTTGAAACCTAGCAATATTTACAGCTATAACTACACCATTAATTCCCTTGCAACGATGCCAAAATTTGATCACGCCTAACTATGCCTTATAAAATGGACTAAGCGGTCGTTGCAAATATAGTGTCTAAAAGTCTGGAGTTGAATCACACAAAAAACTAAGATTTAGCTATAACTATTCACTATCACTAAGAATACAAGTTCGAACAATTTTTTGAGTTAAAGATTAAGATTTTTATTTCTAACTAATTAGCTAATAAATATTAAAGTAGTAAAATTATCAACTAACGATACTAAGGATGGAGAAAGTTTGAAAAAGCCTAGAGTTATGACTTTTTCAAATGTTGAAATCCTTTCTGCTACATCTCCTATAATCCTAAGCATTCTTTACTGATTGTAAGAACTCGAATTATCGTAATTCTATCTCGAACAACTGCAATAATATTCTAGTCATAGTCTCTTGAATTACGCTAGCTCGCACTTTCTCTATAACCACGTCAAAGTTTCGTTATCTCTAATCCCGCTTTTAAACCCGCCGTATTAATCTCTCATATACCTTAGGAGTGACGTTGTTCAACAACCTAAATATGCACTCTTTCTCAAGTAATACATAATAAATAGGCATAGCTAATTGAAAGCTTTTTAATGAACCAAAATAAGTATGTACTTGAACAAGTAGAGAAATTCAAAGGCAAAATTATATTAGAACGTAACGAGAATTCATCATTCAAAAGATTCGATCAAACTCTAGATATAATAAGGTACTCATAGTCATGCTAACAATGACGCTAATAGTTGAAAGTATTAGTCCACAAACTAAGGAAGAACAAAAGAAAAACTCTTGTGATCCGGTGCTTGCAATGCTTCTAGCCGTCTTGACCTCTTCAAAATAATGTCCAACCCCCTAAAAAAATGAGTTTAGCGGGTACTTATAGGTTAGAGTCAAGGTATCCAAGTCCAAAACCGAAAAGGAAATAGAAATAGCTTGGACAGAAGCCGTCGTTGCCCCACGCAGAAACTGTGGCGCCCCAGGCTCTGCCTCGCACCGTGTAAGGCGTTGACTTTGGTGCCTTTGACCTCGCATGGCGCCATGGGCGCCGAAATTTGGTCGCCAAGCGCCCTATGGGGTGTGGTGTTTTCGTGGCCTTTCTTCGTTATTCTACTCGTGCTTTACTTTGTTATTTTTTATACCTCTTGTCCAACTTTCTTTCCACATCATTCGCAAATGATCCTACATACAAAATCAACTCAATTTAGCACAAACATATCACGAATCATCAATATTATATATAATATATAGAGTAAATGATGACATAAAGTATAGCATTTTAGCCTCACATGTCACCTCTTCTGGATATATCATATCATTCCTTGATTCTAATTAAGACTTGGAAAATATAGTCTATAAGAGCTTGTTTCTACAACAAACTATTAAGAGCTTCATTATAGTAATCATCTTATAGATGTCTCGTAGCACCATAAATAAAGAACAACTCCGGAATACAAGGACCAATGTCACAGTCTTTTTTCATAACGAAGACAAGGAC